GAGTGGCTGTTTGCCCCGGGGCAAACTAACGTGCGACTGCGCGATCAGACGTCCGGTTGAGGTCCCGTCGAGGTCCCATGGCTAGGGGGGAGGCCGATCACACAACAGGCAAAGAAGCGGGGTGGTGGGGTTTTGGGGTTTTAAAAACTTTTTAAAACTGAAGTGTGCGCATGCTCCGTTGGGGGCTGGTGCCCATCTGTGGAGACTTGGGGGAGAAATGACCTGTTTGCTAGGGGACATGGGCGGGCGCCGGATGCCACCGGAAATGCGATCAGACGCCCGCCCTTGCCCCGCGGTTTCCAGAAACTAGTACCTCGGAGGTACTAGGTTTTTGCCCCGGATCTTCAGCGGGAAGCCTCGGGTGAGCCACGGGAGCTCTACGCTTCCCAGATGTGGCGGTGTGATCGTTCCCAGAAAATCCACCTATCTTCCGTCTCCGTGTGACCGCAGCCTATACTATACTACTATACAGTATAATAATATAATTGTTAAGAGTAGTAAACTGAGATTTTTTTAAATAACATTTTGCTTCATTAAAACATGGAGTTAACAGCCAAAATATTTCAGTAACTGAAGAGGACAATCTCACAATACTTAGCGTATCTGACCTCCCCACAGCTCCGTAGAGCATTTATGCTGGGCCGATTTAATGTGCTCCCCTCTGCAGTTTTAGCAGGAAGATTTAAGAAAATCCCCTACTCTGTAAGGTTCTGTGATTGTGATTCAGAGGAGATTGAAACAATTGAACATGTATTCCTCTATTGTAGTTTGTATGATGACATTCGGGAAGCCTATCTAGAAGATATTCTTAAGAATGATGCCAAGCAATCCGATGACAGAAGGTTGTATCGTTTACTGGCTTCACAAAATATAGCGGTTATTGAAGCGGTTGCCAAGTTCTCTAACTGCCTTATAATGAGGAAGCTGTGTGTCAAATCCATGAACTGAATGGCGACTGTATGATTATGATCTACAAATATATACAAGGGGGACCAGCAATTCAAAGCAGTACAATAATAATGATGAAAAATTGCTGTGAGTTCACAAATCACAATGAATAGACAATAATAACTAGTACAGAATTGACGCTTGATGATGTTTATAATTTCTATGTTTTCAGAACACAGGACGTCAAATACGGAAGGTGAGCGATACGAACATCTCGAGTGGTTGTTCGTTTCGAGACAACTCTTTTTCAACCAAATTCAGTTCTCTGGTTGTCTTATTGTGTTTAGCTGTGATATCAATCTTATCCAACATCCGTAAAGCACATAGGCTAACAAGTTTTAACAGCACAAGGGCTAACAAATTCTAAATTCTTGTTGTCCGAATTTAGAATTTAGAAACGAATTTAGAATTTAGAAACGAACAACCACTCGAGATGTTCGTATCGCTCACCTTCCGTATTTGCCGTCCTGTGTTCTGAAAACATAGAAATTATAAACATCATCAAGCGTCAATTCTGTACTAGTTATTATTGTCTATTCATTGTGATTATGATCTATGCCAATAAAGGTTTTGAACTTGAAGAGGACAATCTGAATGTCCTTCACAAACCGTGTGCAAATGAACAGAAGGTGTGCGGACTGTAATGTGGGGCTCTTTTCTGTGGCCTTATGCCTGCCATTCAAACCTGCCTCCATTGCATCTGATAATGCCTCAGATTTGCTACTTTTTAGGCATTTCCAATGCATGATTTTTGTCAGGGGCTGTCTGATGAATGTGTCTGGGTGATGAAGGATTGCCAGGTCCCCCTGGCCACTGGCAGCAGTTGAGATAGGATTGCCAGTTCCAGGTTGGAGAAATCCTGGAGATTTGGGGATGGAGCCTGGGGAGGACAGGGACCTCTGTGGAATACAATGCCGTAGAGTCCACCCTCCAAAGCGGCCATTTTATCCAGGGGAACTGATTTCTGTGGTCTGGAGATGAGCTGTAATTCCAGGGGATCCCCAGGTTTAGGGTTGCCACCCCCCCCGGTCTGGTGGGGTTTACCCACTTTTTTGGGGGGGTTCAATCCACCCCCAAGCCTGCTCGAAAACTGTCTTGAGAGAGGGAAGGGAGAGGGGTGGCTGCAGGCCATGTGCCTGAATTCCAAGCGGCATTGCCACTTGGAGATCAGGCATGTGAGGCCCATCCACAGCGAGCACTTAGAGGGACCCCTTTAAATGCTCACCGTCGGTGGGGACTGGTTCCACGTGCCCAATCTCCAAGTGGCAATGCCGCTTGGAAATCAGGGATGTGGGGCTCACTGGCTGCAAGCACTCAAAGGGACCTCGAGCGCCCAGCACCCGTTCTTCCCAAGCTGGGGGTGTCGGCTCCTGCCTTGCAAGAGGCAAGATAACCTCTTGTAAGGCAGGAGCACCTGGCGTCCCCTCTTTTCAAATGGGGGCTGTTGACTCCTGCCTTGCAAGAGGCAATTTTGCCTTTTGCATGGCAAGAGCACTTGGCCCTCGCTTCCCCCCCACACACACACACCATTTAAAGGGAAGTTTCCCGTTAAATGGTAGAGAAAGTGGGGACATGATGATGTCATGCAGAGTGACATCATTGTGCTGGGGTGGCCACGCCCCCTCCTGGAACACCCTCTAATTCCCCCATCGGGGAGAAAATTGGACCTGGCAACCCTATCCCGGTCCCACCTAGAGACTGGCATCCCTAGTATGATGTGTGTAGAACTTTGGGGATATAGGCTATTGGGTGGAGCAATGAAATCCTTAATTTGCATATTGGAAGGGGTGTGTGTAGTGAGTGACTGGTGGAAAACAACAACCTGAGTAGGAGTTGGAGCAAAGGGAGGCCTAGTCGTTTGGTCTCTTGAAGGCCTCAGCTGAAGAAGTTCTCGTCTGGTGTGGGCCCTCCCTTGATGGACATCACTTCTTCTGGAGGAGGGTAGCCCCCAGACCACCTATCTTTGAACTGAAGGTGATTTCTTCTCTCGGATAGTGAGGAGAGAGGCCCTGAGAACTTTCCTTCCCACTGGAGGCCTGCTTCTGAGGGACTGCAGCTGGACCAGCTCCAACAAAGAGAACAGTACTTCCAGATCACTGACTACTGGACCTTTGGTTTGGGAAGGGAAAGGATTTTGAGGGTGGGGAGTACAATATCCTGTATGCAGAACTGTATTTTCCTTGTTGTAATAAATAGTTGCTTTGTTTAAGCCAAGATGTGTGAGTGGGAGGGGGGCTTTAAGAAAGGAGGCCCTAAGCCTTGAACTCGACGTTAGGCCAGGAGCCCTCAAGTCTGGCTCTTTGCAGATAGGTGTTAAGGAATGTGGGTATATGGCATGGCTATTAGGTAGTTCAGGCCATTTGGTCTCACCATTTGGCCTGAAACAGGAAATAAAGACACAGCATGTCAATCAGAATGTCATCACAGGGGAAGGCATGAGAGTTTAGAAAGCAATATTTCTATACACCCTTATTTCCAACGCCTGGGTTACATGTGTGTGTTTCCAAACACATGTTTATCTTACTTACTGGTCACATTTCTTAAGTGCTTATTTCACAAAAATCTGAGGCACCAATTTTCGCTCACCAATCTAAGGTGCAAATGGCGCCTGAAAAATGCCAGGTTAAGGAGTAATCCCGGTAATAATTGTACTGGTTTTATATGATCAAATTCCTTGAAGAACTAAATGAAAGGATATCCATTTCTTTTTGTCTGTATCATGACTGTTTTCTATTGTTACAAATAACTGCAGTTAGCTCAAGCCAAGGGAGTGAGGGGGGGCGTCTTCTTCACACTGATGTCTGTTTTGGGTTTTTCCACCTCAAGAGTTCTGTGGAGCTGAGGTCGACACGTCATTGCTTTTGGCCTATCCCACACCTTTCTCAGAGTAAACAGCACGAAAAACTTGTATAAGAGTCATCCCAGCCAAGCCCTTTTATAAACCAAACTTTAATTTGTTATTCTTCTGGCATCCGCCAATGTGTTCGTGTGACCATGTGGGTTGGCTGTGGAACTAAGCACTATAAAATCTTTTGATGGCAGAATGTTTCATCTGGCCATTTTCTGTGTCACTTACAAAACACTCACACACCCCACCTCGTGTGTGTAGCTCCGTGGATTCAGTCATTGGAATTCTTTGGTGCAAATGAAGAGGAACGTGTAAGAGCTTATAGAGCTGGCTATTCGTTACTAGTATAGATTTATTTGAAAAAAGCCAATTGGTTTTCACTATATGTCAGATTATAATAGGAATAGTTGAAGGGAAAAGCACTTCACCTTCATGCTTCTCCGTACTATAGTTTTGGGAAGACTAAAAAGAGATTTTTAAATTCCAGTATATTTTCACAGATTCCTTCCATTTCAACCACTGTACAATGTCTCACTTATTCAAAGGACAGACTGCCTGTCCCATTTCTCCTCCTGAGCTATTTTCCTTGATTGGAAGAGAAGTACTGTCAGAAATCTGAAAGGGAGAGATAGACGAGAGATCACATTTAGAAAATATTTAACCTGGTAATTTTCATGACTGCATAGGAGAATGGTTACTGCTTTCCTTTTCTTTAGTGAGCCTTCACGTGACATGCACAGTCATTGTACCAATCCCCACCTTCATCTCAGACCTA